GTCGGTGTTGTCTCTGCGTGTCGCCTCTACGTGTTGTCTGCGTGTCGCCTCTGCGAGTTGTCTCTGCGTGTCGTCTGCGTGTAGTCTCTAGACATGCTCACCACCCTTGCGCCCCCCACCCCCTGCAGAATGTTAGCATCATTATGTGAAGATTTTTGATCATCATGCTGTTGACCTTCAGCCAAACATTTGTTTCGTCTCCAAACCCTTTGTGTCATTTCCCACCACTTTTTATCGTCTGTCCAAACAGGTCTCACTTGTAAATGAGTCTTCAAGTCTTGTAGGAGTTGTTTCGCTGTGGCGACCCCTGAAGAGACGGGTGCAGCCGAAACAAGAAGAGAAAAAGAACATTCCTGACATCGTGGAACATGAAAAAAATTGCTAAAGGTTTTAAGACCATCTCAACAAATTTGCAATAGTGATACCAACTTTTCACACTGGTTAATAACCATTTAAGACATCAACTATCCAAAAATGTAGAATTTTTAAACTCTTTTCCACCCAGTCACGTGATGTTGATGTGCACAGTTCTTTCATTAACTTGAAGAACTCTGAACAGCTTGTCAGCACATCTCACTCTTCATGGACACTTGCTGCGTCACTAAATCCACGTCACACAAAACGCGCCACCACGCGTTTATTACTACTTGAGCGTGAGGGAACACACGACACGATGACAACATGTGAGCTGTCAGCACTTGTAACTGGTGGTGTGGAGAAGAAGGAGCAGCGGTGTCACCGGCCTGAAGTTCACAGCTGCCGAGCTTCACCGACACCTGGTCAGCCCGCAGAGCCGGTCGGACCGAGAGCTTTCAGAAACTTGTGGCAGCGGTAACAAAACGGCCCATCCATCAAGTGACGACACACAGCGACACTTGTACCGTAAAACACACTTCAAGTAGCCGCAGCTAGTGGCCGGCTCCAGCAGGCGCGTGTCTGTACAGTAAGCTAACACATGCTAGCGTTAGCTGCTAGCTGAAGTAGCTCCTGACTGAACTCACCACAACTGACATTTTCCGAGGGCGCTTTCACCGAGAAGCATGGGACAAATTCCGCCGCGTTTACATTGGGCACAAACGGTTTAGCGTTCACGTTCAGAGCCGTAAATGCGGACTCAAGTTGTCCGTCGACAGTGGCCTCCACATCGTCCTCTTGTTCCCAGGAATCAGGGGCAGTGTCTCTCTGCTCCATCGTGGCTCTTGAATCTTTCTGAAGCTGCGCAGGTTTTGGTCGCTGTGAGTCCGCCCAAAGCACGATGTTAGCGTGAGCCCGCGGAGGAAGTCCAAGTTTCCCAATTCAATGTCTAATGTTTGATTTCCACTTCAAAAGAATTACAGTCGCCGGTTTCTACTGCTCCAAGCACGAGATATTCGATTCAGCACTCCCAGAAACTGTCCGCGTGAGCTAACGCGTCACTTCAGCCGACGTGCTATCTACTGTGAATTATGGGATTTGTAGTCTTATTTTCAACAGGAAACCGGTCTGTTGAAAATGAAAATAAGTAAAGTAAAAACTACATATCCCCAAAACGGATTAAAAGAAGTTCACTTCGGTGGTTTCTGATAGCGCACATTTGATTTCCAATGTAGTTACTGTGAATTACTTTTTGCATAGTAGCTAAACATAAACCAGGTTATTTAAAATGCTTGTACAATATAGGCACAAAGAATTACGTTGAAGAGGGCAAATCAAAAAATGAGATGAAAAGTTAAAGTGATTTTTTTTCCATCCATCATCTTTTACCCGCTTCTTCCATTTTGGGTCACGGGGGTCGCCGGTGCCCATGTCCAGCAATCACTGTGCGAGGGGCGGGGTACACCCTGGACAGGTCTTCAATCCATCACTGGGACACCTGGACAGGTCTCCAGTCCATCACTGGGACACCTGGACAGGTCTCCAGTCCATCACTGGGACACCTGGACAGGTCTCCAGTCCATCACTGGGACACCTGCACAGGTCTCCAGTCCATGACTGGGACACCTGGACAGGTCTTCAGTCCATCACTGGGACACCTGCACAGGTCTCCAGTCCATCACTGGGACATCTGGACAGGTCTCCAGTCCATGACTGGGACACCTGGACAGGTCTCCAGTCCATCACTGGGACATCTGGACAGGTCTCCAGTCCATGACTGGGGCGGCAGAGACAAACGAGACAAACAACCAATTCACTCTTTCTCTCTCACCTAGGGTCAATTTAGAGTTACAATCAGTCTAACATGCATGTTTTGGTCTGTGAGAGGAAACCTGAGTACCCGGAGAAAACCCACGCAGAACATGCAAACTCCACCCAAAAAGGTCCCGGGCCAGGATTTGATCAGGCGACAGCTCTAACTGTTCCATCATGCTGCTATATATATATATATATGCACAATTCAGTTTATATCTATAGCGTCAAGTCACGGGCAGAAACTGCAAGATGATTCCACAAGAGAGGAGCCTTAAGTGAAAGCTCTGCCTCCAATTCTGATTTTAGAAACTCTAGGAACTACAAGTAAACCTGCAGGTCAGTTCAGTTTATTTATATAGCACCAATTCACAACAAAGTTGTCTCAGGGCACTGTACAAAAGCATTCACATACAGTACATAGAAAAGCCAATTAGTAAAGTTCTCTATCGAAGGAAGCCAGCAGATTCTTTGAATCTTCACTTCATCGTTGTCTCCCATCCTGAGCAAGCACAAAGGAGACAGTGAAAAGGAAAAAGTCCCTTTTAAAAGGAAGAAACCTCCAGCAGAACCAGGCTCAGCCACTATATAACAACATGCATCAACACCTTATTGGAGTGGGTGGAGGGAGGAGTGGGGTCTTCTTGTTATTGATTTATTTATATATATTTTTCCCTCAAATCTCCTTTCTCTGTTTGATATTTGAGGTTGGGGACAGGGAGGGGGGGTAGGCCGCCTGGTTGGGGTCTGGGCTGTGGGTGGGCTTTGGGCCTTGGGGGGCAGTTGTGGGTGGTGCTCCGGTTCTCCCTGGGTCGTTCGGATTTTTTGATCAAGGCTCCTGGCTGCAATGGCTGGCCCTTTGGCCGGTGTGGCTGCCGGGTTTCATTCAACCTTTATTTAGACAGCTTAATCCCATTAAGCCTCGAGGACTCATTTACAAGAGAGACCTGTTTCGGCAGGCGGTCATCTGTGGTTGTGTGTGTGTGGTCGTTGGTGGTGTATGGCAGCGATTGGGGGCATGGCTTTGCTTTGGTGTGGCGCTGGCTGGTTGGCCTGGTGTGACATTTGCAGTGGGGCGTGCTGTGTGTATGGGGTAGTGCACTGGTGGCATGCCTGGGCATCTCCAGGTCTGTGTGTTGGGGTTGGTGGGGTGCCTGGTCCTTGGTGTGCTGGACCAGCCTTCCTCTGCTGCGTCTGCCTGCTGCTCTGGCCCTCGGCTTGGGGCCGGCCTGCGGTTGCTGTCGGGTGGGTGGGACGCATGGTGTCTGTGTGTGCCTGTTTATGTGTCAGGTTGGGTTTTGGGTGGTTCCCTCTCTTGTATCATTTTGGACCCCCCATTTAATGTGGGGTCCACTTCCCCCTGTCGCACACCCCTCCGGTGGTGGGTCCCCTTGCCGCCCGTGCATTGGTGGTGGCTCTCGGCATTTGGGGCTGGGTGCTTAGGTGTGTGCCGACCCGCCCTGGTGGCTGCTTGCCGGGGGCTGGGTGCCCTGGCTCTGTTGGGCCCTTGTTGGGGGGTGGTATGACCTCGGGGCTCTGTGTCCATGGCTGGATCTGCTCCGGTGTAGCGGGTTGCCAGCAGGGCCTGTGGACTCGTCGCTGCAGACTCCTGGGACTTCTGCATTGTGGCTACTGGGGGTCGCCCGGGGCTCTCCTCTGCTTCTCTCGTGGGGAGTGTGTGTGGGGGGGGGGGTTTGTCCGTGTTGGGGACTCCCAGGGCTCCAGGCTTGGGGGCCGCTGGGTGTCTGTGGTTCCGGTCTTCATCGTGTCCTGTGGGGACGGGTCTGTGGATCCCCACATCCACTATTCAACATTTTTATGGCGAAACCTTATAGTGACAAGCATGCTCACACAGGTGTTTAGAAGAAGAAGAATCAGAATAAACTTTATTGGAATTGCACCGAGGTACAACGCGAATATGTACGTACAGTCGTCCGTCGTCCGCTTGTGAAAATAAATCTGTTGGCCTCACCTTGACACTAAGACAATAATTCTGAGTGCCACAATGCTGGACAAGACACGGGAAAAAAAGGAAAAAGAACCAAGCTCAGAACAAGCTGGACATTCTGAGAGTGAAGTGCTCTGTTAGGAAAATATGAAACAATAAGATCTGTAATATAAGATGGAGCTAGGATGTTGAGAGCTTTGTATGGTAGAAATAAAATTTTAGAGTATTGGTCCCAGCACTGAACCCTGAGGAACTCCATGACTAATTTTGGTGTATGAAGTAGATTCATTATTTACATTTACCAACTGGTTTCTATCAAATAAATATGATTAAACCATTTTAGAGACATTCTTGTAATCCCAATATCACATTCAAGCCTCTGTAGTAGAATATTGTGATCAACTGTATCGAAAGCAACACTGAGCTCTAACAGGACTAGTGTAGACACCAGTCCATTGTCTGAAGTCATGAGAATATCATTAGTTTCTGTGCTATGATGAGCTCTAAACACTGACTAGGGCTGGACAATAATCCAGTATCAATATATATTGCGATTGTAGATGAACAGATGCTGCGAAATATTCATCAATTAAAACGGATTCTTCATTTTTCTGGACTGAATAAAACGTGCATTGAATTTAATGAAATGTAAACGTGAGACGTCATTTATCTTTGACCCATCAAAATGAATGCGGTCATTTATTTTACAGAATCAAAGTTTAACATCAAACATTTACATTAATTTGGCAAAATATGAAAATAACAACATAATTAACAGCTTTACAGGTAGTAAGAAACAATGCGGCGATTGTTTCCACTCTTCAGCAGAACAGCAGACCTCAATGAAAACTGTACAATTATGATCAATTATCCACACGGCGGTGGATGAGCACTTTACACAGACATTTCTAAATTATCTGGAAGGATTTCTACTTGAGAGAAGAATTTAAAGATGGAAATGAAGTTTAAAGGGAGTAAAAGATGGTGTGTGAGGGGAAGTGTTGACCAGAACCGACACTCTCCATCCGAACCCAGCTTTTCCTCGGTACGCTTTGGTAGGAAACTTGACTCATTACCTTTCTGAAGATAAATCAGCAGATATGGAGGTCCAGTTAACGCTACCTGTCCAGCGTCTCCATAGGATGGCTGTGACTCGTCCGAAGTAGTGACGAGATTCCGTCCGACACAAGCTCACCTCAGCAAGTGGACTTCACATGAGTGGAGTCCTTCAGAAGTTCCACTCAGAGGTGGAAGATGTTATAATCCAACTCGAAGAGCCTTATCATGGCTGGACTTCTGTTCTCCCAAACGACTTCACAGAACTGCGAACATCTCAGAACTTCTCCGCGC